TAACCCTATAGGCACTACATTGTAACTACAATGTAACTATGTATGTTATACTGGAAACTGTGTTGACATAATGGCTGCAAGTGTTGGATTTTCAAGCTTACCAGCACAAACAAGTTTTTATACAAAGAAATGGGAGATCAAAAAAGTCACAGGGATGCTTTTAATGAAAACTTAATGAAAATTAATAATATTGATCACAATTATAAAAGAGTCAGTGTTATGGTCATGTCTTGTATGGGACAAGTATAGAACCTCTCCTCTCTAAAGCATTGTCTACACTAGAGTTTTCCCCCTACCCTTCCAACAGTAGAGATACCTAGTTCCAGAAATTGTTTCTAGTATCCTGTGAGCTAACACTGAGCAATCTAACTGAACAGGTTGAAAATCAAGCCTATATCGACCTTGCTTCTTGTTTGCAAAAAGAATTGGTGCTCTCAATCCTTTCTCTAGTGTATGTTATATGCCACAGCAACTCAGCTCTCTTGGAATTTTAAGTTCCTGGAAGCAAGCCAGAAACAGTATCATGGACATACCACATAGACTTCTCCTTTTAGAAAGAAACTATGACTGATGGTAGAAACTATGACTAGGTAGATGTAAAGTCCTTTTCAGGCTAATGTATCTAAGCTATACCAGTCATGAGACTGTCATTAGCCAGAGCCTTCAGAAAAGCATCTTTATAAAATAAAAAGCATCTATATAAAAGAAAAGGTAGAAGTCTCTTCATTCATACATATTTCCCCCTCACCACATGTTTGTACAAGAAATAAGTATTGTTTATTAGTAGTAATGTTTAAATGTTCCTTTTTGACAAAGATACTTATGACACAGTAGAGTGACTCATTCTGACTATTGTACAGCCTTTTACTAAAGTGAAGTTGTTGGTCATCTGAGTTAATGGCACTGTGAATGCACATGGTATTTCCATTAAATGGACATCAAAGGTTCATTCCAAATGTTACTAAATAAAACAAAATGACTTACCGCTTCACAGCTCTTGATATAAAGTCATCACTAGAATTTAGAGTTGGATCTTGAGGATTTAAATGAAGACTACATTGGATTTCTCTGGAGGTTATGACATCAATTATCACTAAGCAAGAACAGAATATAATAAGCATTTCAAAACAAATGCTTCTGTAGACATTGAACACCTTCCTTTGATTCTGATGCTTCAAAGGAGTAAAACTGAAGCTAGCAGGAAGGGGGCTTGCAGCAATGCTCTTGCACAGAGCTTGCTTTTTCCTAATATACTGATGATCAATAAAATTAGAAGCTACACCTTATTAATTAACTAGAGGCCAAGACAGAGGTTTTTGCATTACTTTCTGGTTTATGCCAAATACAGAACACTTTAGTAAGTGATTTATACAGAAGTGCTACTCTGTTTTTCATGGTTGTGCATCCCTAAGAGCAGCCATTACAATGTATTTGTAACTGAAAAGCACAGTGCAAGAACCGAGACAGAACCAAGATCTTTGTCAACCCAGTAAAAAGGACCTTATCAAATATTCCACACATACCACAGGCTAAGTTGTCTTTCACAGGATGAGGAAAAGAAACAGAAAAGCTGGTGTTCTTTTGTGGTGCCACTTCAAAGTAAAGCAGTTTTGAGTCATCTAGAAATAAAATCACTATTTAGTGATATGTTCCCCCACACATTAAACATGGGCACTTTTTGGCTGAATGACATGCCAGTAGTTTTGAAAAGGCTGGTACAGTAGAATCTAATTGTTCATTGCTTTGGCAACTGAGTTCATGCTCCTAGAAGTTTCAGGCCTAGGAAGTCCGTTTGTTTGTTTCTAATATTCAACTGAGTATAATACTCGAATTAAGAATTGTTGATCATTTAAAATGCTCTGCAAGCTCTGACAAGGAAAAGTCAAATCTGTTAACACCCAGCTTAGAAACTAATTTTCCTTTAATATTCTGTCATTACTTCCAGCCAAACCATGTACCTTCATCTATGTATGTCTCAGAGACACAGCTGCTAATAAGAGTGTTATATGCCATTTGATGTCGAAGAACCTCTATTATGCCAGGCACACACTTTGGATGGGTAAATGGGATTTTACTGACCAAGGCTCCTGCTAAATCTGATTTTTCTGAACCCTTGTTTATGAAGTAGCAGTGCTTTGGGCAATCTGGAAGAGACTGAAAAAAAAAAAACAAATATGTTGACTTTTCAAACAGCGAAAACAAGAAAGTGAGACCTGATATTATCAGGCAATCACACAATCTGACAGCGAAACTAATTTTGAAAGGCATGTTTCTAGCAAGTCCATCAGGTCTGTCTGTGTTTCCGTAGAAATATAATCCATAGAAGAAAGCTAGCCAAGACCTTCCCCCACACGTTTCAATTTAGGGAATAGACCTCTAAAGCCAAGTGGTCAGGAGTTTTAGTCCTACCAGTTATTCTAACTGCTCATAAGAGTCCTAGAGCAAGCTATAGAAATATTAACCATAACCTTTTTTTCTCAGGCGAACATCTTAGTAATACTACTTGTACAATGAGGATAAGAGCTTTGCCTGAAATCTCTCCTCTTAAGCCTATCATGTGTTGCTCCTGCACCACCACTGCTCTCTTGGAGAAATATGTTTGGCTAGATTATCTCCTGGTGACTCATTTCCAAAGGAGGAGATGATGGTAATAAATTGCCATCTCTCCATGGTACTATATCACAAAATTAGAAGTGAAATATAGTATTATCTACTTCAGTATACATGCATTGATCAAAGCGGGAGCTGTCACCTTAGGAACAGGGCAGGGCAGCTAATTAACAGGGCTGATATTAAGAAAAGATGGAGAGCAGAGTAAAGGATCTTTGCTCTGGGTTATCTGTGGAGCAGAAGAGCTTTTCTGCATTTCTTTCAAGGTCAGAATTCAATTTAGTGATTTATTTCTAGATATAAAATCTTTAGACTCAGAAGCAAAACAGTCTCACTAAGTATTAATGTTTTAGAGAATTGCTGAAGAGTTTGAGCCTCTCATGTGTATCCAATCCAGTGGAAATTAAAAATTCTTCTTAGTTTATAGTCTTTATAGAACAGAACTTAGCTAACCCTTCTGTCGGAACAGTGTAAATTCACTACAGCCTTTGGCACCACTACCCCCAAAGTCTAAGAACTATGTAGGCAATGGGATCAACTAATACTACTAGTACAATAGAAAAAAGTGCCCTCTCCTTCTGTTGCCATGATTTTCAAAATTAATGTTTCCTAGCAAAAATGTAGATGTTTGACGTTTGTCTTGTACTTGCCCTGTAGGCAACTTAAAAGCAAAGCATCTTAGCCACCATTTTATTTACTAAAATTTCGCATCTATGTCTAACACAGAATAAATTAAATATTTTTCTAATAAAACAGTTTTTAAAAGGGAAGGCATCCACAGTTAAACAACCATGGCTCTAATTAGTAATTGACAACACTGTCATAACTCTTTACACTTTTCTTCCAGCTAGTCCCTTTATGCATACATATATATTTTTTTCTCAGTGTTATCCAATCAAGAGTTCTGTTTTAATAAAAACAGTGACAGAAATGATCCATGATAGAGATCTTCAAAAAATCTAGATAAATACCATCTTGGGCCTTGCTTCTCAGACCAGCCGATAAGTTTCCTTCTTTTTAAGGCATTAATGAAGTTGTGAGCAGTTTTTAGCAGAGTAAGTATCTGAGAGTTTTAAACACACAGACAAATATGACTTCAGTAACCATACACCAAACGTGTTTCATTAATGAGGATGAGAAGTTGTCTTACTTTAAAGAGTCTAATACTGTTTCCTAAATAACTTCCCTAAAAAGCATTTAGGTACTATTGAAATTCTGGGAAGTTTGCATTGCTTTTGCTGATAGGAAAAAGGTGCTTCAGCATGTACCTTGCACAAGGACAGAGTGGCTGTCAAGCATAGACTATACTCACCACAAGGAAACGGGAATTATGTGTAGACAAATCTTCCTTGCATTTTTCTTTAAGGGTAGACTGAACAATCAGCTCATATAGAGGAACTAGTTTCAAGCCAGCAATCTGAATTCCTAAATTGATATTTTTAATTAGTATTGAGAGTATGACTATAAATGAAAGCTATTATTAAAAACAAAACCAATGTTTTGAAAATCCACAAACATAAGCATGAATCTTCCTTCTTGCCTCATTTTTCACTGAAGGGAAACAGAGGTAGAGTGTGTAATAGCTTTGCCCATAAGCCTATCCTTTCTTAATGTCACATCTTTAAGATGTGTTTTCTTTCATATTTTCTTTTTTTTTTTTTTTTTTACATTCATTGCTAAAATGTTACACCTGGGCTGATAGAACAGAAAATTTTCTACCCCAGAACCCATTTTTTCTTCTTACAACATTAACACAGGGGAATAAAAAAAGCAAACAAGCCATGTAGAATCACAGAAACAATCTTAAAAG